TATATATATATATATATATATATGTATATGATTGGTGTGTGAGTGAGGGAGAAATATATGTATAATAGTCCCTTGTGTGAATAAATGCATACATGCATGCACGCGTACGTATGTTAATGTCAAATTACAACAGAATACTTGTAGTTTGTAGATGGAAAACACAATCCTACATGACAATAAAAAAAAGTGACGTTCTAACAATGTATAATCGATCTGTATGTATATATTAAAAGATAAAAAAAGATATTATTTTGATAGAAAATATAGAAAGAAGATATATTACTTTTAATTTGGTATAAAAATTTAATTATTTGATTGTATGTTGAGTGTAAGAATGAATGACACAGTAATGAAACGTGGCTGCTTGATGCATTTTTTTTCTAACAAATAGATATGTTATATATAGATGTGTGTGTGTATACATGTATGATGTATATCATTCATGGATGGATATGGAGATGCATTTTATGGGTCAAAGTCAAGTCATCATCATCATTGACCATCATCGTGGTTGTGGTGATGGTCGTGTATATATATATATAAAAAAAAATGGGATGAATGATGTTGGGTGGGTCCACCCCGAGATCACGCGAGGAGGTCACATGAGATGCACGTGCTTGAGAAGCTCAAGTTCAACGATTGAAGAAGGGTAAAATGGTAAATCAGTATGAAAAAAAAAAGTGAGAAAAAGGAACGAGACGTTGATTTTGGAGGAATGAAATGAAAGGAGAGAGGGACGAGTGAAGGCCGTGGTGTTGTGGGAGACAAACAAAGGCTTTTGTGGGGCCTTTCCTAATTTCGGTTTGGGTCCAGCTACTGTTCTATGGGCCCACCTCTTTTTTAAGAAAAAAAATATATATATATATATATGAGGTTTGCTATTAATCTGCATTTAAAAACATAAAATTCTCTACAATTAAAGTTAAAATTCTGTTTTATTTTTTCAATAAGTTCCTTTGTTTCAAATAATCAGTCTATACACAAAATTTCGAAAATTACATCTTTGTATAAAATAGTTGAAACCTCAATTTTAGATTTTATAACATCTTTATTCTCACTCATCAAATTAAAGTTTTTTTTTTAATCAATTTTACACAGAAGTGGTTTTACCGATATGTTTCAATTCGCAGGATATCATTCATATTCTTCTTTTTTGCTAATTATTTGAATAACTATGGCCCGTTACACAAAACGATAAACTATGGCCAAATTTGTGGAGAGACGATTGGTAATATGAGAGTTTTTGAACTCGAGGCGTTACGGGCTCCATGATATTAGTAGCATTTTATGAAAATAACTAGAGAATTGACAATTTATAGCTGGTTAGAACATTTTGGATTTTAATTTTATTGGATTAGTTTTTTTTTGTTTTTCTAACTATATCTATGACTTTTTGTATCATAATTCGATTTGGTTTAGCTTCTATTTGTAATGTGGTTTGGGTTTGATTTTTATTAAAAAAAAGTATTCATTTTCTAAAAAAATACCACTTTCATTTGTACTTTTCATATTCGACTCGAATTCATTTTGAGTTAAAAAATGTTAATTCTTTATCAAATTTAGATTGAAATTTGATTATATGTTATTTAGTTCGATTTAATTTGGGTTTTATGCATCCAAACCAAAATATTAGCCCTCTACCAGAAACATCTCGCTCTGATAAATTTGTAACCAAATTTATCGATCTATTTATGTGTGTGCGAAAGCTATGCATTTATTGGGACTCAAAAATGACAGCGAGTAAATAAATGCTGCCAGATGGTAAAGACAGAGCAAAGGGTAAAAAGAAAATTACCAAATCCAATTTGGGAGTCCTATTTATCTGTGTATCGAACAACAGTGTAACATGTTCAAGCATATCCGATGTAAAAAAAAAAAAAATTTTTACCATGATTGGAATTTGCAACTGTCATGGAAACAAGAGTGTTGTAAATGCACGAACTGACACCGAAAGGCTTTCCATATGAGGCCTCTACTCTATTTGGTTGGAGAGAAAAGTAACAAAAAAAAAAAGAAAGAAATTTAAGAATATACTGAAACAAAACCAACACATGTACCCAAAGAAAGACTGTGTGTCCTGTTTCAATACAAAATTACATAATGTAAAAATAAAAAAGAAATCCTCTTAATACCCTTTATTTTATTTTGAGTATGTAAACAGAAAGTTTCTTCCTTTTTTTTTTTTTGTGGGTGTGTGGGGGTAAAGAGTCAGAAGATTAGAATGTTGAAGGGAAGAGGAAGAG